ACTAGGTCAGAGGTTAGTGTGTGTGTATGTACGTCCCCTTGCCCCAGTCCAGATCAAGGTTGGTGCGTGTGGACGCATGTCCCCTTACCCCAGTACCAGGTCCGAGGTTGGTGTGTGTGGACGCACGTCCCCTTGCCCCAGTTCCAGGTCCGAGGTTGGTGTGTGTGGACGCGCTTCCCTTTACCCTGGCTCCAGATCAGAGGTTGGTGTGTGTGGACACATGTTCCCTTATCCCAGTACCAGGTCAGAGGTTAGTGTATGTGGACACATGTCCCCTTGCCCCAGTCCAGATCAAGGTTGGTGTGTGTGGCTGCACGTCCCCTTGCCCCAATTCCAGGTCAGACGGTGTGTGTGGATGCACTTCCCTTTACCCCGGCTCCAGATCAGAGGTTGGTGTGTGTGGACGCACGTCCCCTTACCCCGGTAATTTCTTTCTAGCTCTCAATCACTTCTGAGCTGTGAAGCAGCAACTTGAAATTTTATAGGAGAATCGGCCTGATGTCAAGGATGTGTTTCTGGCTTTCCTGGGGATAGTTGCTCCAATTTGGCCAAGTTCAGAGCTAGCAAAAAAATGCCAGTTTGCTCATGATCAGTAGAGACTTGTTAGCTTGGCAGCTAAATTCTCCGAATCTCCCCTCGAGGCTGGATATGTTCCAGCATCGGGTGGAGAAGGACTCTTCCTGCGCTTGCTCCGGGCAGCAGGGCCAGGGAAGTAGTTGGCTGACTACACTGCTGGGAGATGGGGTGCCTAAAGGTTTGGAAGCACCAGATTAGACTCCCTTCCCCTCCTTCAAAACCTGGGATGCAACCTTAAAAGTCCTGAGTCAGCTCATAACTGAAACCTGAAGCATCTCACCATCCCTCTAGTGGCTATTTCATATAGAGGATAGTAGACCGTCACCGATATCATTGCCTCCCCTAACTCACGCTGCCGATTCCTGCCCTATGGACTTTGCATCCACACAAGTGACTTCCTGATGGTGGTTTGTTGATGGTGGTTTTTTTTTTTTTTTTTTTTTTGTAAGTCACTTTTTTCACAAGCATTTTAAAATAAAACGCAAGCAACCTCATCCCGTTGTCCTTACGTTACGATGCAGCCTCTCGGGATATTATCATGATTTGTTA